ACGGCGCCGTGCACCCACTCCTCAGCAGCCGCGTACGTGGCGCTGCGCAAAATGGAACAGAAAAGCCAACAGAAGGAAACAAAGAAAACTGCCCAGGCAAAATCAGCTGGGGTCAAATACACTGTTCTGTTCAGCCTGAAACAAAAGGCTTGTTTTCAGGTCATTTAACTAAATTTTTTTTTTCTTTCCTTTTAACAAAAAAGAAAACAAACAAACAAACCACAGAGATCACTTGTGAGCTGAACACAAAGTGTTTTTACTTTGGGGGAACTTTCCTCCTCTTTTTCCCGTACTGTTTGACCAGCCCAAACTTGTATTAATAAGTTTCCCATCTACCATACAGAATATTCACCTCCCTAACTGCAGAGCTTGTATTTCCATTAAGTATCACACAAACATCAGATGACAGATTCTAAAGTGCAAATTATTTTTGCTTTTGGGAAAGAGGATAAAGAGAAAACAAGTTGCCTCCCTATCAAGAGTTTTAATGGAGCCCCATGTCCAGCAAAGTCCATAAGGTTGAGACTAAACGCTTCCCTGGACCACTCTATGTTATTTTAATGATGCTCTTACTGTGAGAAGATTTTTTGAAACCCAGTTTGAATGGAAGTGGGGAAGGTACGTAAACAGCAGTTCAGTCAGAGGTTACTGAAAGTAAAGCAAAGTTTCTCTACAAAGGCAGGGAATCTTGCTATGTGCTGTCCTCTGTATTTGGATGCTCCTTTGGGCGACAAGTGTGCAACCCCACAGTAACACCTGCAAGGAATTTAGAGACAGGAGAGTCTCTTGCAAAAGGGGTAATGCCAGAGGGTCACTGTCCTAATCCTTGCACGTGTTATTTGCTCCTAATGCCGCTCACTAAGTAACACTAGAAAGTAAGGTGAGATTTACATAATGCTGATCGATTTGAAATTTGCAGTAAGCACAACAGCTCTTGGATTGCATTGCACAGTGCAGCAGCAGCAAAGTCTTTAGCTATTCAGGTCAGCTCTCACACCAGCAACTGCACCTCTGCAAAGCGAGCTGGGGATACGATCGCACGTCAAGCCGGAGAGGACGAAACCCCATTTATCTCGAGACATTTAAAGCCACCTGAACATTGCGTGTCCCAAATGCAGCCAGAGATGAGAAAACTTTTCAGGTTTGTTTGGCTTCTGCTTGAGGAAACTCCGCCTGGGGAGGGCAACGGCCAAGGGGCGGGAGGCGGAGGCCGAAAGGCAGCAGGAGGCAGATCTCCGTGCCCGGGGTAGCGGGAAGCAAGAATAGGATGGGATAGCAAGAAGTGGGATAGCGAAGGATAGTTTGGGTGAGGAATGAAGAGCATTTAAGGATCTCCTGCAGTTCAGCACGACTGCAGCAGGCAGGGCTGCGGGCTGGGGCAAGGCTCTACGGGCAGGTGGCCAGGAGCCCACGGGTGGGTGAGCAGAGGGTGCTGTGGGTCAGGCTCTTGGCACAGCCACAAAGCTCCAAGGAGAACGGAGGGCTCCACGCTGCCCTTGCTGGAGGAGGAACGGTGCACTGCGGGGCTCTGTGCAGAGGCAGCTTGTTTGGTTCCTCAGCTTGTGTACTGCCCTCAGTCCAACGCATGCTGAAGCTCTCCATCCCCAACAGCTTTTTTTTTTTTTTTTGGCCTCCTTAAAAACCAGCAATACACATGCAAACGTACGTGCCTCGATGAAATCCACACTTTAGATGCATAATTTAAGGTGAAACCAGAAATACACTTGGATTTTGGCAGTGCTTACAAATGGATTTGTACCCTGAGCCTTCCCCCACACCTAACCATGAGCAAAGATGAACAAGAATTTGGGCATAATCCACCCTGCTGCTTAGGAAGCAAACATAAAAGAGAAAGCAAAGCCCTGTTTGGAGAAGGGAGAGAGTTACCTGAGCGATACACTCCCAGGTGTGCCTTAGATAAGCACTGGGTTCAGGCTAAAAGCTCCTCATCACCCTCACGTGCAGAGCCTTTTTGCTGGCCCACCAAGCCCGCTACCCAGCTGCAGTCTGAGCAAATCCAAAAGGCTGGTACCCACCAGAGAAGGCAGCTCATTTGTTTGATCACCGATAGAGGCGACTTCTGTAAACCAGATCTGGCCCAGCAACGAGCTAAGTGGATGGAAAAGCTCCAGTTGCCTTCAAGGCTCATGGTACGAGGTAAATGGCCCTGAGAGCGTGCAGAGATTCGGAAAGTTTTCAACCCAAGAAATATCCCCCCTACGAATGCCCCGCACTGCTCATCACATCACAACCCCGCAGGGCGCTGGGGCCAGTGCCAGCACCCTTACAAGCACAAAGAAGGCACGTCCAGAACTGGGAAGGGGCTGGTCCCCACTGCAGTAGCACCATCACAGAACGACACCCACCATCATCACAACCTTTGCAGGGAAAAAGAGAGAGATGCTTACAAAAACTGCTTCGATTTCTGACTGTCATGCCCATAATTAGCTACGACCCCACACTAACCGTGTTCTAAGGCACTATGGAAGACACAATGGGGAGGTATTTTTTGCAAGCCCCTCCAGTTTTAAGAAAATAATTGCTTAAGCCTCATAAATAACAATTATTTCAATTGATCAATCATTTTGACTCATTTTAGGTTTCAAGTAATATTTAATAGTGCCATGCAGTAAAGTAATTGAGGAATTAAGAATTCATTCGTCACTCTTGTATGTTCTTATTTGAATTAGACCAAATCAAAATTATTATTACTTTTTTAGACAGATAATTTAAATGACAGTCATTTTCGTCGTTTCACCAGAGTATAGAAAAATCTCCTAAAATTAAAAGATTGTAATCAAACCTTGTCCCCCCCATATTCTTTCACGCACACAAACCCACACAAACCGTCTCCCTCCCCAAGTGTGTAAAGCTTTGTTCTCACAGCCCTGAAAACTTAACACTTGAGTAACCTTTCACATAACACTTGAGTAACCTTTCACACTCAACTTAAAGTCTCTTTCTCCAAGTGAAAATCACACTTCTGAGGTCAGTCCAGACACGCCAAACACAGGATTTCAGACTGAAAAGAAAAATGTCTGAGATAATGAAACAGGCGCTTCTCTCTCCAGGGTATTTTACAAAATTATGTTTACGATCAGAAATAATTTACTGATGGGAAATGAGATGCCAGTTACAAGGAAATTCAACGTTAATCCCAATAATTTGCCCTGTGATTTGCTCACAATCTCAAAGCACTTGATGAGCAGCACGTTGCATAACCCAGAGCGATGCGGGGCAGGAAACCTGGCGTCCACGTTACTGATGAGGACGTTGAGTTTGAGAGACCCTAAGCACAGTCTGAAGCACCCTCCTGTCTGCTCCCTTCTCCGTCTTCTCCTTCACAAAAAGACAATCCCTCTCCCTGTCTGAAGGGATGAAGGAGTGAGCAGTGGATTTTTGGAACCTGATACAACATCGTGTGCAGGGAGACGGGGAAACAAGACTCAACCAAAGGGGATCAAAAAAGCAAAAGGGAACACAAGAGTGAAACCAAACACGGCGGGTCAGTTGGGTTTAACTGGGATTAACATTGGGATGTTAATCAGGACCTAATGAAGGTTCTGTAGAGCAGCTAATGTTTTACTATATGAGACTTAGGATATGGCTGAACCAACCACAGCCAATACTCCTTTCATGTGGTCGAGAAGGAAACGCTGATGTATTTTCAGACAATGATGAGGTCAGAAGATTTTTCAGAGTCTGACCTGGCAGCCATGAGAAATGGAAAGCAAGGATCCCACCGAGAGATGGGATCAGCCTGGTCAGTTCTCTTGTAAGAGCAGAGGGCTGGAAGGCAAAAAAAGCTATTAAAAAAAAAAGAGGGAAAGGGCTCAAGATTGATGAGGTGGGCAGTAGCTCATATTTACATATCTGGGGCCTCCATGACAGCAGAAAAAATAAGTTAACCCAAAAACCAGAAATCTAATCTACATTCACTTCCCAAGTTGTCAAAAGCCCTCAGCGTACAGCGGCCGCGCTTGGCTGCCCAGAGGTGTTCCGCAGAGGGACCCCGACCAATAAATCTGTTTGATTTCCTGTTATGAGAAGCAGACAAAGAGATATGGCCAAGGATGGGCAGAGCTGTCCGCACAAGGGAAGAGTCTGTGCTTTCACCCCAAACTCAAACCCACCCTCTCCGAGGTTAGGAAAAGTTCAGTTCACTTTGGGGATTTTTTAGCGTTATTCCTCGTTTTCGCATGTTCCCGTGGGAGCTGGAAGTAGATGGGACAAAGCATTTCTTTCCTGCTGGCAACAAGCAGCCCTGCAAGTGTCACACAAAAGTTTGTTCTTGAGAGACTTCCAGTCCAAGGGTGTGATCTTACAACCCCTCCAGACGCGGATAACGCACTGACATTTTTAATGGCTTTGCTGTTGGTGAGAATTTCTGGACATTACAAGTGGTTTTCCTCCTCCACTTCTTCCTTGCTTTCTTCCCCCCTTCATCCAGCACACGTTACACACAAACAGAAAAAGAAAACAAAGTTTTGGGATCAAAAAGACCGTTTTTCCAAAACCCTGGGGAGAACCTGCACAATGGTCACAATATTGCAGAACAGCAGCTGTTGATAAGGTTCCTCTCAGGAGGTGACATCAGAAGTCAAATGCTATTTTGTCCACCGTCCTCAGACTAACAGCCTGACCCTGCAGTCCCTGACCAATACGTGTTTCGTGGCATAAATCTTCCAGCAGTATAGCAGGTCCCCAACAACATTTGAAAGCAATTAGGATGAATGCAGTAGTATTTCAATGTATTTCCCTTCCAACCCTAACCATTCCATGATTCTATGATTTTTCTGAAACATCACAATACTCACATTTCTGCAGA